CATTTCCACAATTAAGAATAAAATTCAGCTTTTTCTTTATTACTTCTTTTAATTTAGCACAAAATAATAGAATGTTGAAGAGCAGAAAAAAGCAAAAAGAATTTCTGCTGTCGCCAGATGATCACCTCTGATATTTTAATTTTAATAAATTATCAAATATGAATCTCTGTTGTCAGCAACTGAACGACAGAATAGATTATTTATTTGTCACACAATTTAAAATCATGAAACACCCCAATACAATACACAACAGACTTGAGTCCAGTCACAACCCATTGTTGCTTTGGTACGAATATCAATACCTACACAAGTATGAGTATAACAAACCAACTAGTGTTTAACAACAAACAATAAAACAAAGGATCTATGGCAGTTTTTTTTGTCATATTTGTGAACACACCTTTTATAGGTGTTTATGCAGTGTGCACATTACTGTACGTATAAAGTATGACAGTATAGTAGGCCTATAATTTATTATGAAAAACTTTCATTTAATTTTGAGAAAATACATATCCACAAATTGAAATTTAAAATATTAAATCTTTTCAATGGATACCTCCCAACAATTTCTATTTGTGATTTCAATGTTGCTCACAGTGGCAATAAATGTTACTGTATTGTGTATCAATATTAATTTGATGATAATCTAATTTTTTTTCTTATAAAAGTACAGTACTATAGACCCCAATGTGGAGAGTAGGAAATGTAATTATCATTAGTAGAAACAATGACTTAGCAGTATTTCACATACTAGTTACCGGTATTACAACATTCACAAAAGTACTTTAATCCAGATTGCAATATACCATAGTTATTAGTCAAAAAAAAATTTGAGGACATATGATCTCCTGATCACTTAACAATACATTCATATAGTTACCACAGGCCTACACATAAAGCAAATTTAATTACTTTTACAACATACAAAAAGCTCTGATGACTTTGGAGTTTTTTATTTTATTTTTAGGTTTGGAAATTACTTGTGATTTATGAGCCTGCAGGGCATAGTTTGTTAAATCATGGTAAAATAGTTATGCTTGCCATACAGTAGTTTCAAAACTCGCCATTTAATACTTCCAACCAAGCTTCAACATTCTGAACACAAGACTAATATTTTATTTTAAAACACTATTGTTGTACAATTACTAAAAATAGAAATGTTCCTGCTTTTTTACATAAATAACAAATGCAACTTTGACATGTTTAAATATTTTAGGCTTTTTTAACATTCATTTTATAACAACAATTGAAAGGATTTTTTTGAATAGTTTTTTGAATTGTTTAAATTTTAATGATACAGCAATTAATCTCACTGTCTCTTTATTTCTTAATATGTTTTTATCGCAATCAAATTCAGCTATTTGCTGTAGATTGTAAATTATATACTGAATAAATAATTTTAAAAAATAAATAAATAAATAAATACTTCTCTTCACTCGCAACCTCCTTTGTTTAATTAAACAACTATCAATCATAATTCCCTATTCTAAGGCAACATAAGTTACATTTGAATTCAGTTGTCACAATTATCTCACAGAAAGGTACAGTATGACAACCAATTAACATCTCGACGAGATTTGATTGACAGATAAACCGACTAATCAGCAAGCGTCATTTAGTCACGTGATCAAAGACTTTTTTTCAGACATTTTTGTCAATGCAAAACATACGTGAGCCTAGGCCTAGATGTCTATGCTTGGTTATAGATACCCAGATTTACACGAGCAGTGCGCATCAGTGACTTGGACTTGGCCGACAACGAGGTTGACTAAATGCGACTTTTCCCTCTTCCTTTGGGAGAGAAATACAGAGGCTTTTACAATAATTTCCCCGCCTGTTCCATGAAATAGATTAACACTATGAATATATGATTCATTTCCATACTGCCTACCCTGAATTCTCTTTCTTAAAGAAGGTTTATAGCAAAGAAAATGTTCGCCGACTCGGTAAGTCTAGTCGCCATTGTCTAAGGTTTTTGTGACTTTGTGGGCGGGCTTCGCATCCTTGTTGACATGTCAATTGTAATACTGTACATCAGAGGCAACTTTTAAATATTAGAACCCCTTCCTTCAACACACTCCAATTCAGTGGGAAATCATAATTTCTGGTGTTGCAGATTTTCTGGTATATTATTATGTGACAAAGACAATACATGTTGGAATGTCAAATTTTAAAAAATCTATTTTATTCCACTAAACTAAACTTTATATAACTATCATGCTACGCTGTTATTTTCCCAATTTTCAATGTTAAAACAACACTTTTTAAGGATTTCATGATAGTTTCTGCATGGAATTGCCTGAAATCATGAACTTTGCAGGCTGATTTCTCATTTTCTTTAAACAGCTGTATGTTTAAACGCTTGTAACTTCATAAGGAAATGTCGGATTTTAAAGTCAGGCTCCGGAGGGAAAAAACATTTTGATATGTTGTAGAACTGATTTTTCTAGGATAGAAAAAAGTTTTTTGACGAAAAACTGAGCAACGGTGAATGAGATACAGATTTTTGAATATTTAAAAACTGGGGGAAAAAGGTGTAAAAATGGGTGGTTACGCCCCTTTTTCCCCCAGTTTTTAAATTTTAAATATTCAAAAATCTGTAGCTCGTTCACCGTTCCCCAGTTTTTCGTCAAACAACTTTTTTCTGTCTTGGAAAAATCAGTTCTACAACATATCAAAAAATGTTTTTCCTCCGGAGTCTGACTTTAAAATATTTTTTTTACCATTTTATAGCTCTTATTTTACACTTAACCCTGTATTAATAACTAAAAATCAATTTTTGCGATGGGTGACCGGTTTGCCTTGTCTTTGCCACATACATTATTAGTATTCTTACAAGGTAGTAGCAATTCTACTGTAAATATAATTTTCAAATCAATTAATCTAAATTAAAAATTAATCTACTGTACAGTACATCGTTTACAAGTTATAAAAACATGCAAAATGTGCGGTGTTGAATATGTTGGTATAAAATTCAAGATAAAATCTGGTGGTTGCTGATAATTTTATCACTAAACTGCTTCAATATTTTTCAACAATTCATTTGATCAAATAGATTCTGTCCAATGAGCGTTTTCACTTTGTCTACATGACGTCAATTCAAGGACAATGCTGCCAAGATCTGAGTTTAAAAGTTCAAAATAAAACTTTATAATATTGTTTAAAAAAATAAAGAAAAGTTAAACATTTTTAAGTTCTCTGCTAATGTACAACACTGGTTCATTTAAATCCGTCTTAATCTTGTGCAACCTAGTTGTTACAGTGATCATGCATGCGCAAAATCTAAAGTACTGTATATAAATCAGGGGTACGATTTGTCCAAGGTTTAATATATTTACTCTTCATCTCAGTCAAATTAATTCAGAGAAAACATGGCTTACAGCCTGTAAGCCAGGCTCTAAATCCACTTAAATGTTAAATCCTACATATGGACAGCAGATTCAACTATAGGCTACTTCCACAAGTATTGTGAGACGGTATTTTGAAGATAGGAAGGAGGGTGTTAGAGAGTTGAGGTGAGGTGGAATGGCTTTCAGGTTTTCTACATGAAAGTGTGCCTAAAAAAAATTTCTCAACATAACAATGATGTTAACGGTTAAGACTGGCACAACAGTAGAAAATTATGCAATTATGAAAAAAAAAAACATTGCCAAGGTGTCTGTATTATATTTTGACTCCCTGGTGCTATAAAAGGAAAACTGCCTAGAGATTCTATTACTGTACTATTCAAACATTTTTACAGTTACCTTGGATTAGTAAGCCTTGGAATACAAAACCTTTGTAGAGCTTTTTACATAATAGAATGCGTTGCAAAGACCTGTACAATGACACTTAAGTAATCGGTTCTCAATTTTTTTCCTGAACTTGGTAGTTTAAATGTTGAGGTTAACAACAAAACATGTCAGTTTTAACTGCACAAAACTTTGATACTCAGCTTATCAAATTCTCTGAACTAATATTCAAATGTTTTTCATTTTAAAAGGTGTTAAACAACAAAGGATCAGTACTCCTATAAATAAATAAACAAGAACAAATAAAGTATTTATAAGAAAACATTGAATTTAATGTGGAAGCAGTTTGCTGTTACAGCAGTTGTGGTAGAGTTCTTGATCGCTTTTAATTTCTTGTGTCCTAAAAAAAGGAATTTTATGGTATTTTTATCTTTCTCCACCCGGGGTGTAATGGGTACTATTTTGTTTTAATGTAGGCCTACACAGCAGTGGCATTCCAACCTACTCGGTACTCACTGATAGAGTAAAGACAATTGTTGATTTAGCAATCATCATCAGACTTCACAAACCCCCAATATTGCAATTAGAAAGAAACCCAAAGCCTCATGCAGTGCCAAAATTGTTTACTTTATTGTAGAGTTATTCAAAATGAGTGTACTGATATCTATTAGTCCAAGGTTACATGTTGCATTAAAGCCAATTCCAGGATGTTTACAGTTTTATAGGATGAATCTTAGCACATAAACAAAATGTGTTTGTTAAACTACCCCCTTTACAATGTATACAGTAGTATGCAAATATCTATTAGAGCCTCGTTCTTTCAACAAAGAAGCCAGAAGGTTAGGAGTTATCTAAAGATAATTATTAACAAATAAATATATTGACAATGGAAATTACTACGGAGTTATTCAAATTCAATAGGGAGTTTTTATTTGTCACGACATAGAATGTACAACATAATGACGTCATGTTAATTTAACTACACATATGTCTGAACATTGTGTGCTGCATTCTCTACTGAAATCTGAAATGGTTGTTGGCTGAATCTACGTTCAGGCCAGAATGAGGACTATACTGTAGAAAAGATTGGTTCGCCAGTCTTTGCCTTCGTAAGATGCACGCGTCTTAAAAAACAAAACAAAATTGAATTATAGCAGAACACAGAAAAGCACGCGACGACAGACATGGATGTGTGAATCTGTTCTACAGTACGTCTCAATCAAAAGCTCTCTACTGTATGTCTCGCATTCAACACGGCTGTGTAATTAATTGAAAGGTTAATTAAAACAACTTACCCTCTTTTTCTGGCCTGTGGTTGGTATCTGACAATCCTCATTGTTATCTTCCTGTTCCGATTCATCAAGGCTAAAGGAAGAACAGGTACTAGTGTTCGACAGTTTCCTATTAAGTAAACTCTTTTTTGGTGATTTGAGATCATCTGCAGGTAGGATGTCAATTTGTGGGACATCAATGGCAACACCAACAGAATTCTGATCAACTGATGAGTTTGAAGGAAAGATGCCTTTGTCTTGACTGACACCATAATCATCAGTGACAATGACAGCAGGTGGAGATGGCAGCATCTCCATACTGGAGAAGCTGGCAGAACTCCAAACCGTGTTGTTAGATGTCTCACAGAGTCTTGGCTTTGGCGATAATGCCATTGTTTTTAGACTTGAGCCAAGAAGATCTGGACTTGCTGGTCCTATATTTTTTAATCTTACAGTTAATTGCGTTCTTTTAATTTTATTTGATGAATTTACAGAGCTTGTCTTCACACTTTTGTTTCCTTCTTCAAAACCTTCATCAACAGGTGATGATGGTCTATATATTAAAGGCTCCGGTACATCCAGTTCAGTGCTATCAAAAACATGTGAGCTACGGGATAGAAGTTTAGATCTTCTGGAAGATGAATCCATGAAATTTTGAGATATTGGTGATTTAATATTACGATCAAACATCTCTGGCAATTGAAAATCGGAAGTGTCTAAATTTGTACTATGGTGTCCACTGTCAACACTATGTGTCCTTGATGCTTTAGTATGCATAGATTGAGAGAGACCATCATGGCACTCGGTACTATGTGCGACAGGTGAATGACACCGTGGACTTAAGTTTACAGGACTACTGGAGTAGCGCCCACTCCCATAACCACTGCTTGGACTAATGCAGGGCGACAGGCAATTCCTTAAATTCACATTGTTACTTGTACTTGTATTTGATTGTCCAACAGGCAATGCCCATGAGTTCTGGTTTTCCGAAACTTCGCTAGATGATTTTTGCTCATTGGATATAAAACTATGTGGCATTCCCATGTCCCTAGTTACACTACTAATATCAGAGGAGCTATGTTGGTCAATCTTTTCAGTATAATCCATTAATTTTTGACATTCTGGCAAAATATTCTCCTCGCCTGAGAATCTAGAACACAGGTGTTGTATTCTAGGGGAGACTGGACGAATGGTGGGAGATTTTAGAGAGGCTGGTGACGGTACACATGGAGATAAACTTCTGGATCTTCTCTTATTTACAATCGGGATGAAATGCTTTGGAGAAGGGGTTGTGTCAAACTTTGCAATTGTATCAGACACTCTTGAAATACTATCACCTGATATATGTTCCTTGTTTACGTCAAAAGATGGTACCACAGGATTTGGTATATCTAACTTTAGGTTACGTAGTCGTGGTCTGGAACGCCTTTCCTCTACATCTTCCACCCCGCCAATTGATTTAATTCCTTTGTCCATTTTGCCATTAACTAAGCAAGGGATATCCCCAGATAAGTTTACAGGTAACGAATTTGTATAGTCACTTTGTTGAAATGTGAAAACTGTCCCCAATTCAGTTTCCCTAAAGTCTCTATGGCCATTATGGGGTTGTTTCACCATGCTCGAATATCTCAGACCATTTAAAATTTTCTTCCCTGCTTTTATGTCATCTGCATTTAACTCCTTGTGAGGACCAATGGAATCGAAATTCATGCTAATGTCACCACCAACACAGTCATTCACACCCATACAACTTTTGTAGGGTCAATACTTAGAGCAAGTTGATAAAGCTAGTTATGTTGACTTGATTCTCAAGCATATCTTTTCCGTATTTTCATCATTGCAAAAAAATGGGGACAGTTGCACCAATTGTCATGTAATTCAACAACACACATAACTCTGAAAAAGGATAGAAAAATTAATTTTTCATAAATTTTCTGAAAAATTCATCAAACAACATAAACCATTCTCATCTGATGTCATGGCGAAATAGTTAAGTTGTTGCACAGGCCAGTATTGAGTAAATGAGCTATAAAATATGGGAGCTCAAAAAATTGCCTAAAAATCCAAATTTGTTTTTCACTATAGATCAACAGTTCATTGTCTTATTAATCATATACCAAAGTATTAGTTCTGGAAGTGGCCAACAAATTGTTTATTTAATGTTATTTTGATAGTTCATTCTATTAAACAATGTATACACAATATATTGATCATCCTGATGATGACATAATTAATGTCGAAATATTGAATCCCAACACGATGGCGTGTATTTTAATACTTGGAGTATGTATTATTAGTATTATACTTTCTTATCTGAGATTAATCAGTGGACCTTTCGGTTCATGTATACACAAATAACTTTGAAAGGCAATTACTCAAAATCATGTTTATCTTGATTCTAAGGGTACTGTACTTTCACTTTCCAATAACTTAGGCTTGAAATGTCCAATTTCAATGAATGACCCCTCATTTTTAAGATCACATACTCAGGTATCTGAAAATACTAATAACTTAACTTTCAATTTTTGCTGAAACTTAGCCATTTTGCAACAACATGCCTCAATATGAATATTTTATAATTATAATTATTAATAGGTCTTGCACTTCATGTGTGTACTGTCTGTAGTTAGTTAACTAATTAGAAATAACTAATTTGGTTGGGTCTAGAGCCTAGCTTATACAGTAGGTGGGCTGGACCTACTGTAAAATTAACTAGGCTTAGGCCTAGGCTAGGCCCTTTTTTAGATAAATCATAAAACCGATTGAGTATTATTATTGTTGTTCTATTATTATTTACTAACAATGTGTATATTACGCGACCTAACTAGGCCTAAATATCTTTGTATGGCATTTAGTAAAGAAGAGAAGATGCCTTTGAATCTGATAAACATCGACATAGGCCTACCCGTAAAATATAAAACAGGCAGGTGGTACAGTCACAGTACTTCAGTAAAGAAAGTACCAACCTACTTACTTTGGCCTAGGCCTCCGCCTAGCCCTAGGCTTGGCATTTCTTGGACAGAACATCCACACTCATGTCATTCAATTTCACAATAAAAACACAATTCATTTACGCATGTTAAAAATTAATAAAATAATATATTGCCAAATAAATACTCACTTAAATTAATATAAAACTATTCAATATCCCCTTCCTATTCAGAACTACAAAATATTTGTCGGAAACACTAAGCCTCCTTCCTTATTATTAGGACTCGCGATCGAAGACCAATCACGGTCGACAGCACGTCCAACGCTCGATTAATCCTCTTCCGTTCCGGATTCTGGTGTGTACGACGCGTACGACGGTGTGGTGGTTTGGTGGGTGTATACTACTCTAGGTGGCGCATTGCGTGCTTGTCATCGATCCTACAGGTGGAAATTTAGATTAGAACGTACAAAATCAATCACTTCTAAAAGTTATTTTTCAGAAATTTCCTATGGACACGATGACCATTTTATAAAATGTATAAATTTTAACGCTTTTATTACCATTTTTTTTTTATCTTTGACATTTTGATATGTAAATTGTTGCCTTTTGTTAATCTTTCCTTTGATTCGTTTTTTATTGATTCGATTTTAAATGCTTTTATGAAAATGTTTAACAGTAATTTTTTATATTTTTTAAAACTGTTTAAATGTGTTTTATTGTGGACCGAATCAGAAACAAACTTTATAATTCAATGGGTTATCCAAATTTTTCTCTTATTTTTTCTTGTATTAATAGGCCCGATATAGTGTTTTTATTTGTTTTAAAATGACTTGTTTTTACTATGTATTTTATATATTGTATATAGAGAGAAATCGAATAAATCAAATACACTGCAGTCAATCTAAGCCCTATTATCAACCAACCAATCAATCAGTCGTTATATTCTGTAAGTTGCCATTCCAATCAGGGGTGGCACCAGCGTGGGGGTGGAGGGTTGACGGGGAGAGCTCTCTCCTCCCCGTAATTCGTCGGAGGAAAAAAAGCGCACCGTCTTTCGGGTAAACATTTAAGCCGTTGGTCCTGTGTGCATTATGACTCATGTGCACGTTAAAGAATGCAGAACAATTTTCGAAAAAGGAGGGGATTGACTGCTGGTGTACTGCCAATTCACCACCAGAAGGACCAACTGGAAATAAGCCACCTTCTAGACTTTAGATCTAATTTTTTCGCGACTCAAATACAGACATATTTAATTGAACAGAAAAATATTTTCTCATTATGATTTTCAGGTGATTCGTACACATTGAACTGAACAAAACTAACATTTTTAGGTTGTCATACCTGAAATATGAATGTTTTGATAGTGTATTTTTTAACACCAAAACTTTAATAACACACGCATTACAAAAGTAAACTGACACACATGCACACTTTAAATGCACTCTCGTTTACTGTAATTTGATTTTGTTTGTACTCGTTCGTATTAAGTAAAGTTTTCACGATATGAAGAGGTTATGCGACCCATCAAATTTTTCTGCAACCCAAACTTTGGGTCGCGACCCATAGGTTGCGGAACGATGGTTTAAATCACATGAAATATTTACTCCTAAACATTTTTACTGGGCCTTTTGTCCATAATATTACTTTTTTTCATAATTTAGTCCAGAGTATACAGAAAATTCATCAAAAAGGCCTATATCAATAATCGGTTTAATTGAGCTTTGAAAAAAAACCCCAAAAAAACAAAAAACAATGTCATCTGCAAACTGATTTATCCGTATGTCTACATTATTACATCCTAATATTCTATTTCTTGAAGGTGTCTGATGGACGGACTAGGTTGCCTAGTGCTTCTGCACAAATTGTACATGGAGATAGAGGACATACTGTCTTATGAGAGACTGGTAGTTTTTTTTCTTATAAAAACCCTATTTGAAAATTTAACTCAGCCTCAATTTGTTCATTTAAAGCAATTTCAGCCTCGGTGTTCGTATAGAAAATAGTGTAGACTAGTATTAACACTATAAAACTCCAAGACGTTTACAGATATTTACTTTCCCCACTGTAGGCAACTGTTGGATCAATTGTTCTTCGTGTCGTCTAATAAGCTTGAAAATACCAATATAAAGACAGTTAAAGTAACCAATTTGGTTGATACCACGGATGACGTTGCTCTGAAACAGGATACTATTTATACAGTAATGCCATTCTGAATCAAAAGAACATGGTTCAATTGATGATGTTGAGGCCTTTACTAGGCTCGTATTACTATGTCCAAGGAGGTATCAAATAATGTCCAATCACATTCTATGTAGTAGGCCTAATACTCTGACACAAAAAACGTCCAACAGTAAACTTATTTCGCCAACCAATAAATAATTGTTCAAGTGGTGCTTCAGGCACCGTGGGAATGGACAAATCCCCCTAAAAATGTAAATTAAATAATTTCTTCATTTTATAACCAAACACTAAAAACCTTGAAAAAGAAATTGAATCAAAATATCAATTTCACCCATTTTAACTTGACTTAAATAATGACTTTTGGCCTAAGAAGTTATTCATATATAATGGAAAGTAAGAAACCGTATATATGTATAGATTCTTGATGATGACATAATTAATGTCGAAATATTGAATCCCAACACGATGGCATGCATTTCGATACTTGGAGTATGTATTATACTATCGTATATATGTATCCCCTTTACATCTGTAGACCTATAGATAACATTGTTTAGCTGATTATTCCAACAAATTTCATACCACAATTATTAAGCCCTGTCCACACTATCAAATTCCTTCTTAAGCCCTGTCCACACTATCAAATTCTTTCTTAAGCCCGGTCCACACTATCAAATTCTATCTTAAGCCCTGTCCACACTATCAAATTCTTCTTTAAGCCCTGTCCACACTATCAAATTCTTTCTTAAGCCCTGTCCACACTATCAAATTCTTCTTTAAGCCCTGTCCACACTATCAAATTCTTTCTTAAGCCCTGTCCACGCTATCAATTTCTTTCTTAAGCCCTGTCCACACTATCAAATTCTTGTTTAAGCCCTGTCCACACTATCAAATTCTTGTTTAAGCCCTGTCCATGCTATCAAATTCTTTCTTAAGCCCTGTCCATGCTATCAAATTCTTTCTTAAGCCATGTCCACGCTATAAAATTCTTCTAAAGCCTTGTCCACACTATCAGATTCTTTCTGAAGCCTTGTCCACACTATCAAATTCGTACTTTTAAAAAATGTATTCATACTTACATACTTGGTTAATCATTTGCCCCACATATCGGTCGAATCGGAGAAAACTATATAAATATAAAGTTGTCTCAGGGTGAATTGAAAAAAAAAAAATTATACGAAAACGATCTTTACGTTTTTTAGATTTTTACTAGTTTATTCACAATTACAGATTAATATTCCGTCACCAATGAATTACAGTAATACCCATCATTCGGGACACCCCCATGTAGGGGGCACTTTTTTGGTTGTGAATTGAAAGAAAATCTTTTAACACTGACAAACTTCTATTCAGGGGACACATGATTTGGCATGGTAGGTTTCCCATTAATAGGAGTTGTACTGTATTAAAAACATCATGACATATTCATTAAATATACTGTAAGTTGTAAAGTACAAAGATGAATATACACACACCCTTACTTGCAATCCCATCCCTACACATACCCACCCAGCCCAATCTTACATTAAAACATCTGTACAAAATCTATAAACCTCAAGGTAATTGTGGAATGCTTCAATATCAAGGTACAGCCGTACTGCAGATACACGACCTACTGATAATATCTTACCATAACACTGTACATAATTAAATTGACAGCTACTGTATAATATTGTATAATAAAATGACCTAATGTGCTAATCTTTTTGTCTCTAGTTGCTTCTCATTTAATCTAGATTTGTGTACATATCAATCTATCAATCAATGATTAAATACTATACTGTTAATGATAATACAGTAATCATGATTTGGACCCATAACTGTACAAACAAAATAATAATCAACAATTGCAGTACTGGCCCGGGATTTATCAATCTCAGCTTAGCAAATGTTTTCAGTCAAAAAGTTAAGATGTCCCTAAGCAAATATCCTAAGCTGATTTATCAAACCATCTTAGCAAAAATCTTAGCTTAAAAATCGCCTTAGATGGCGCATGCGTACAGTCGACTTTTTAATTTTAAGCAATTTTTAAGCTAAAGCAATATTGATAAATCTGACTTAAGCAAAAAAATAGACTTAAGAAGAATTAAAGCTGATTTCTAGTTTGATAAATCCGGCCCCAGTACTGTATATTCTTGAAAAATTCATCTGGTTTCAGAAAATTTATATATAGCATTTAAAATTTGCAAATACTGTATTTTAAAATATTTTTTTCATGCAACAGCTGTAACATATCTAGTAATCTAAAATGATTACTGATTTAAAAGAAAATATTTAAATGTTATAACTATGGTACTGTATTATAACCTAGGATTGGCTTATTATAATCTGTATTATTATGAAGTTATAAATTTGACAATCCTTTGTGAATTTGGCAATAGTAATGCATTGAAATATTATTAAAAAGTACAGTTTTAATACAGCACTAAAATATTATCTTAAAATTGCAGGTAATTGGACGGACTTGAAAACTGATTGCGTACTGCCATTCTTCACAGCTTCTGAAGGAGATCTCCTATAACCTGAAATAGAACATAAATTGCAAGTGAAATTCATATCTAAATGAATAAAAACACCTGATAATGGACCATCAAGTTCAAATTTGTGTGACTAACAAAGACCAAATAGAGAATGCAGATATAGGAAAGATTACAATAAGCATATCTTAAATGAGCATGGCGATCGCGCAACCTTATTTTAAGTACAATTTGCGTACTAATATACAGCATTGCATGATTTTAATCTTAATCTTATCCTAAGCAGTTTCAAACCATTTTAATATGTCGTTCTTATATAGCGCTTAATGCCTTTACAAAGCCTCTAAGCGCTTCACATTTTAACCATAAATTTTATTGTAGTTTCTGGAGAATTTTAAAGTTAGCTTTTGATAAAAATTTTAACCCTTTTGCGCATTTTACCAATTTCTGTTTTAATTGTATTTTAAATAATTTTGAATGATTTAGAAATGCTTAGCTTACGATTATTTTATTTTAATTATCACTGTACATTTTACCGAATTACCTTTTAAGCTTTGTCTTATTTCTGCATACGTTTTTTTAGTCTGTGGTTTTATAGTTTTATTATGAATGCACCGCATGACGTGCGCCATTGATTCAAAGGTATAGTTTTCAAGTAAAGTTATTATATACATGTGCATGATGTGTTTAATGCAGACCAGTGCTGGGTGGAATCAACCAGCTCCATGATGTCATCACTTCAGTATCTATAACTCAATAATACATTAATATGCAAACACATGCTTGGAATGCACTTGCCATCTGTGCATATTGCATGATCTCTTATGCAGCAGCTTTCAACAGAATACATAATGTGTTTGGATTTAGTCTTTTAGTCTTGTCTTGAAGAGAGACAGCTGAAATGGCTATCAAAGAATTTGCCAATGTACTGTATACCTAGCATTTCTTACCTTTGCTTTACTTCCTATTCTACCTTCTCTTTTCCTCAGTTTGTTAATATCATCAGTCATGGAAATAATTGAGGTGTAGATACCTGAGGTACTCCTGAATAAAAAACATCATTACATTACTGCTCATTTATGAAGTTAATGTTTAATATATAAACATGGACTTTTAAATTCATAATATCGCAAGTTATGTTGATCGATTCGCTAAGCACTGGAATAAATTACTTGACCAGGTGTCAAGACATGATCACGGTGGGTCAACATAAAAATAACCCAGTGCCAATAAAGGGAATAGGTGGAAGAGACCCACAGATGGACACTATCACAGCTATTCATGACAGAAAGTTTATTTTATTACAAGCAATTGAACACACAGTAAGCAGTGTAAACCTAAAGCCGGAAACACAGTGTCGCACGACCGATGAATCCATCTCTGAATTCATCTATGAATTCATCTTTGACGAAACAACATCGTCTGCTGATTTTCAGTGGCAGTTTGAATGGATCCTCAGTAAAAATGAACTGAACCCACTCTCTGGCGCACATATAACTCCTGGTGATTGAATATGCAAAACAGTCATGCTATGTTGTGTGCAAACAGATAAATTGAGTACCATAAATGTATGTAATGAAAATGTACCTGCTGCATTGGAGGCCTCTGCTCTTTAATGGGCTCTCTCCGAGTGCTGCTAAATCCTTCCACCAGTTCCGCAGAATACCCAAGATCATATCCAGACTCGCTACGATGTAGTCCTCGTACTTGCTTCCAAGGATTCGCTGAAGCACCGGTAGAAGATCTAAGCAAGCACCCATGGTGAGCTCTTTCCCTTTGTTTGTCTTGTTCTTAACGTTGAAGCTTAGGTGGGGTAGAACATCAACAGTGGTGGCGTCATCATTTGTGCGTAGCAGGTACGACACAAGACTGTCTGGACTCTTCTGCCAAAATGTATGAGCTGCTTTTACTTGTATCAGCCTGTTGCCTAGTATCATTGCCATATTTTTGTGACCGGATGTTATCTGTGAAAATATTATAATTTTTAAAAAGTATTAGAACAAAACAGCTTGGAAGTGCGATCAAAGTTACACACACACGGCATTATTTATTTGTTTATTAAAATTACGTATTTATTTAGCTACTTAATGATTTACATGTATTTACTTAATATTTATTTATATTTCCAAGAGGTGTAAGAGGATGAACATATATTTTATTTAAATATTTAACCAGGGTGGCCCAAATATGGAAAAGGACTGGTTTTCTTTTGGTCCCTGGGTACAAAGTAAAGCTTTGTCCACACTATCAAATTTTATGTGACAAATTTGTGTGTTGTGCCCATATATGGGCATGATGATGTCATATTTAACCCAAATATGGGCATATCACATTTATTTGTACATAAAATTATATAGTGTGGACATGGCTGATTAATATAAAATAGTACACAAACACAGATATAATAAATACAGTATCAAAATACTTTTAAAAATCTGAGAAGGCCATAATAATGATCTCAATGATTTAAATGAATGAATGAATGAATAAATAAATGAATGAATGAATGAATAAATAAATGAATGAATGAATGAATGAATGAATGAATGAATAAATGAATGAATAAATTAATGAATTAATGAATGCAGGCCTAATCTAACTAATAATATATTACATATAGGACTACCAGCTGAAAAGTTAATTTTAGCATACTGTAGTTAGTACCTGTCTAACTTCATCTGGTTCTTGGTTTATAGCTTCATCTTCTGGGACGGTTTGTTTCTCAGATGTTGGCTCACTGCACTGGATGTCATTATTCCAGGGAGGGCGTTCGCAGTGCTCCTTGTGCTCTATATTCTGATTTTTAGGTGGTTGCTTCATCTAATCAAACAGAAAAGTTGGACTTGCAATATCATTTATCATTGAACCCTCGACATTTTATGTGTAAAAATATTTCATTCTTGTCAAATGAAATCAAATCTGCAATTAACTTTAAAACAGATCATTAATGTGTATATATTGTCTTGGGGGTCGTTCACAATTTTCAACATTTTGAAAAGTGTACAAACAGCACGCTAGGGGAAGGGACTTAACAAATTTGTACACTTTTACATGTGCACGAAAATATTGATTAAAATTATCATGCAATATTAAAAAATATAGATTTTTATGACCAATTATAATGCAACAATTTATATAATAGACATATTATGAAACCAAGTAAGTACTTTAGTTAAACGTTACACAGAAATTGAGAATGGTTTTGCGAAATCAACATTTTTTCTGTACTGTACACTTTCAGAGGGGAGGGAGAAGGGTACCGAAAAAGAGTACTGTTTGCACACTTGTGATAATATTGATGATTGTGAACGACCTTTTAATGCACGACCTTGATGAAAAACACCCTTGGGTGAATCAAGTTTTACCGTGTTGAAATAAAGTATTTATTATCATTATTATTATGACGGCAATTTAAAGGAAGTAAATAAACACTTTAATTTTATATACAGAATAATCTATGTATAATTTATTTATATATATTTATTAGGGTGTCATGTTACCTTATGCTGATGGTTGTAAAGCTTAAGTGGCTGTCTGTGACCTAGATTCAATAGGGGGCCTTTATGAACTTTGTGCAACAAACTCTCATCATATGATGGTTTGTCATCTTGTCTTTGAGACTGAAAAAGTACAAGGGTAATATAATTATATTATTGTAGGTTTATAGGAAAATTATTAAAATGAAGAAATCTGTTCATGTACCCCAAATCACTGCTATTATTACTAATATATTAGTATTATTAGTTTTTATTTATATATATTTTTATATCACCAAGATAAATAGGTTAGTCTTCGGGTTAATAGCTAATAGGATGGGTTTTACAGGCCTTATTTTATTAACAACATAACATGAGTAAGTAGAGCTCAGTCACTCCATAGAGTGCATTCGTTCGCCCTGTGCCTGAATACAGTACCAAAATATGCAGGCTGCGTATAATGGGCGAAAATGCAGCATACCCATAATGAAATAATGGAATCACCAGTCATATTACAGCACATTATTTTCTTGAGTGTTGTAGAATACCCTAAAAATATAATGGAATACTTAGGCACATAGTTTTCTTAAGTGCTGCCTGAATATGTGGGCGACTTTATGCTCGAGGGTAAAAAATTGAATTTCTGTGACTCTGACCTTGTCATTTGACCTTTTCTTTCGAAAATTGTCTTTCTTTGATTATGTACCATTCCACCAAATGTTCCATTCATTAGTATTGCATAATCTTGCTAACAGACAGAATGACAGCCCGACAGACAGACACTGAATACATAACCTCCTTATGGAGGCGGTAAATATAATACATACAGTAAGTACTCAGTCAGCCTGAATTCCTACAAGGTTTTTCGACTTGGCCTAGATTTGAATTTTTTACCCACCTGTTCTTCTTGTGGGCCAGCCCAGATATATTTCTTCTTTTTCATATCCCAACGGATAAATCCTTGTTGGTTGGCACTTGGGTCTGCCATGACTTTTTAGAGTGATCTGATAGAAAATATTAAAATACATAATGATATAGTATAGGCCTAGGCCACCTAGGCTCTACTCCAAAATTATATAATACTCAATTCAAGTAGGCCTGGGTAGGTATATTACAAAGCCTGACGTCACTCTTTCACGGCGGCCTTGTACTTCTGTGTCATGGTGTTGGGTTTTTAAAAAATCTTAAAAATTGCGTTACTCATTGGATATTGATGATGTCATGCATTATATGCAAATTAAAGGTTAAAGAATGGTCACGCATTTGTTTTGTGTTCATTCATTGTATATTTCCGCTGCAGTTGACATCTGAAGTTTATACTCAAATAAAATCCACTTTTGTGGTCAGTAAAGTAAATAGTAATTCTAATGAATATAATAGTAAGCTAGAGAGATAAGTAATTAACATTTTGACCAAATATGAAAGAATTTTATCGACTGCCAAGTGGTTTTTGTAAGCTGAGAAGTCAGCCATCTACCCACAATCACAGTGAGTGCTATGCAGTATACTGTAAACTAAATTATGGCATCGCTCAAGTTTCGCCAATGCATAATAGTTATTGTGAAGAATGTCAGAAGCACTACATAGGCCTACAATCACTATGCCAGATCTCTGCTTAAAAATATTCTTTAAAAAAATTTATATAAAATCAATCACTAGTCCTAGCTCAAATTCAATCAAACTTTATTTTAATATTTAAATGTTGGAGAATTAATTTGCATCACTATTATTTGGATCCAAACAAGATGATTTTCTTTTTAAACATACCTAGCCCGGACCCTAGCCCCTAATATAATAAGTCAAAAAAGAATATTCTGTAGGGCCTAACAAAGTGAAACCAATTAAATGTACAGCATTTTATTCATGGTCCATGGTGCAACACCACTACTACGTACCTACTTGGCAGCTTTGTTTTGGGCTGCTCTCTCTCTCTATCTAGGTAGGCCTACTTTAATGAAACTAGGCGAGGCCTTAATAGCCAACAGTACTGTAGACTCTGTCTCCTGTCAAGTGCAGCGCAGTGATGGTGTTTAGGCCTAGGCTAGGCTATAAAATGCCTAGGCCTAGTAGCTTAGGCTAGCCTAGCCTAGCTAGGTAGGCCTAAGCCTAGCCTAGTTTTCGATGACATGTTCCCCTCGGCTTACGATTTTTAAGACAAGCATATAAAACTAGGGCGCTAATGCACTTTAAACTAGCTTAATGAACATTACTTAGGCTAGTACATACCAAGAAATGTGAAGAATAGAAAAGAAATATCAAATCGTCGCACTTCTGTTTACTTTAGTCTTGTTTGTTTTCTTTCCGTTTAAATTACCGCTTGATTTCTCTTTCTGATTGGATGATTCTCATCCGCAATTATAATTTGTCGCACGAGGGCGTTCTTGTTCAAAAAACAAAACTACCCGCGGGAGATTGCAACACAACCTGTGTTGGTTGCTAGGTATTATTTTGCTGTATTTTTTTTTCAGACTTATAAATATTCAAGTTTTAGTTATTTACAACTAGCCTACGAATACGGAAATATACCTTGCTAGTCTCGCACAATCCTTAGGCATAGGCCTAGGCTAGCCCTGTACCAGAAACGGTAGTGGAGCGAGGGAGGTGTCCTCTCTACTCTACTACTACTACCAGGCTAGCTAGGGCCTGGTCTATAGGCCTAGTTAGCTGCTGCTCGGGCTTTGGCCACTTGGGCTGGCCTAGGCTAGCTAGGCTCTGTACCGGTGTCCCCCTAACCAAGTCGCCCTCGCAAAGTCGCCCCCTGATTGAAGTTTTAATGTCAAGATTTTGATTTCGACTCACAAACTAACAATATGGAAAACATTAATTTAATTAGAGTTAAAGCAAATATTAACCTTGTAAATATAGGAAAGATGAAGTGACATGAAAATAATTTCGGCTTTGACAATTTTTCGACTTAGGCATAGGCCTATTCCACTTAGGTGAGATTAACTGTACAATTTGAGAAGGCTTCAGTGCGACATTTATTCAAGAGTGGCGCTTAGTGGAGAGCGGCGCTTTAAAAAAAAATACTGCTTTCCATATTTTCGAAGTTCAACACTGCACAGTCACTGTGATGGACTGTCACTACTAATTTGCATATTATTTTGTAAAGAACACATCTGTTGTTTGATTCTCATCTCTACATTTCTTCATGAAATTGGTTTATTGACATTATATTTTACATAAAGATTCTAGGTAGTTATTTGTATTCTAGTTAAGAATTAGCGGCAAAATTGCGACATATGTACAGCCACCAATAGGTAGTGCTTCTTGTTTACCTCTCCGTGGCCAAAAAAAACTATATTTCCCCATATTTCTGAAAGTAAACATCAAAAGATCGTTGTGATTTTGATTTTGAGTGCATCGGAACATTGATAGATTTAAGTAATTGTATTTAATTGTTTCCATAGAAAGCAAGATGGCTGCTCATGAGTGGAGTATGAGAACCTCTAGCCCGCCCTCTCACCTTCAGCTGACATGTAATGGCACATATGTCGCACTTCCGTTGGGAAGAACATCAGTAGGTGTTTGGAGCTTGCAGAGTATTTCATCTAAGGTACGGTATTTCTACCTGTCTTTCTACCCCTACATTTCTTGTCATCCTTTACTGTTCTCTCTGATTTCATGGTCTTCACTTTTTTAAGCTTGTTTTCCTCTAGGCGAATTTGTTCGTCCGAATCGAAAGCGTCGGCTTGCTTCCTGAGCTCTGATTGGTTAGAACTACTGATTTCGCTGAAGCACAAAACGCGATAGAAATGTGAATGCGCATGAACTGATGTTTTCGATTCGCGCAAATAAATTCGCCTAGTAGAAAACAGGCTTTATGCTGTATTTTTCATCATTTCTGGTTTCATTTTTTGTCTTTTAGCTTTTGTCATTTTTATACTTATTTTATTCCCTGTGCTTTTGTCAATGGTTTTATTGAAATTTTAACTTTTTTAAGCTTGTTTTCCTCTAGGCGAATTTGTTCGTCCGAATTGAAAGCGTCGGCTTGCTTCCTGAGCTTTGATTGGTTAGAACTACTGATTTCGCTGAAGCACAAAATGCGATAGAAATGTGAATGTGCATGAACTAATGTTTTCGATTCGCGCAAATAAATTCGCCTAGTAGAAAACAGGCTTTATGCTGTATTTTTCATCATTTCTGGTTTCATTTTTTGTCTTTTAGCTTTTGTCATTTTTATACTTATTTTATTCCCTGTGCTTTTGTCAATGGTTTTATTGAAATTTTGATGTTGATACTCTTTATCCTTGATAAATTTTAATGTGATTTTCTTTGAATTGTACTTTTTTGCGAACTTTTCATTTTTATTGGAGACAATAAATTTTATCTTGTATCTCGTATTTGTTTGAGCCTTGTATTTTGACTGTAGATAATGTGCTTTATAAATTAAGATCATTTTCTGGTTTATTACCAGCCACTGGAGTTAATTGGGCATGGCAAGCCTATATGTTGCCTTTGCTTAGGGTCACAACCTCGTCCACCATTGCTCGCCAGCTCAGCTCAGGATTACATCATTGTGTGGAACATTCAGAAAGCCAGGGATGCATATGAGGAAGGTAAAATATGATTTGTTTAGAGGTTTTCACTAGATTTGTTATGATTTAATACCAATGTTAATGCCATCATTAGGCTTTTGATTTAATACCAATGTTAATGACATCTTTTGGATTTGACCAAGACAAACATCTAGTGCAAACATAACATTCTCCTTGGTAAAATTACTCAACCTTTCTGGTAAATTTACCCAATCCCAAGGCAGTACATAATCTTAAATTTAATTTGTGTGCCTGAATTGGCATTCAGTTAGTGTTTAGGAGCTCAGATTATTTCTACATTTTTAAAAGGCATGATAGTTGCTGTTATTAATTGACTGCAACAGTCGTAGTAGGGTCACCGACGAGCAGGGTAACAGCATGACCCCTCCAATTTATACTCCTGAGTGAAGAGAGGCAAACGCATGTAGAGTGTTTTACCCGAGGACACAAACGATGCGACGAGCGTCGATCTCGAACTCCCAATCTCACAATCAGAAGTCCAACACCTTACACGCTGTGCCACACTCTTTCACCATTGGCTGACGGCACAAAATAATCGCATACAACTTCAATTTTTAAACTCTCAATCTACTAATGCTACTTTTCTAGTTATGATATACATATAAATTACATAATGCCATACACAATTGTATAAAAGTGACAAGATTTTTTTATTCCTTTTGTAGGTAACCAGATTCGAGGTGTAGTGATATATACAAGACCAGGATATGTGGAACATATGGATTTCAGTCCTGATGATTTGTTGTTGGCAGTCTGTATCGACAAGGAGGTGCTCATCCTGTCCTCTCAGGTGTGATCAATAGTCAAAACAAAAATTATGAATTTGGAATGGTGTGTTCAAACTACAATGATAGATCCATTTATTCATTCAGTTTTTGTAATCCTTATTAATGTGATTTTTCTCAATCCTGCTACTTTGGCCTTTGACTTTTTAACCCCACAGTTTAATCACTTCTTTTTTGTCTTAGACTCATATGTACCACTCCACTAAACTCCATTCATCAGTATTTGTACAATACTATTACAGACAGATAAAGGCAGCACTACAGAACGACAGACAGTCAGCGTTGAATACATAACATCCTTGGAGAGGGTAAAATTTATTGAATGTTTCCACAGCATTTTGGTGATCTGTTGTTTTATGTATTTACAGTCTGAGCATCTTCACACAACATTGGAAGGTCACACTGCTAGGGTGACAAGTGCTGAATTTTCACCCCATCATGAGGCACTGGTAGTCTCCATCTCAGAGGACAGGACATTCAAGGTAGGGATAGATTAAGGGAGGGATGGAGGGAATAAGAGCTAGCATACAGATCCAGGAAGGCGTGAATCTGTAATCTTGTGCCAAACTTTCTTGCCTTCCTTTTTTTGAATAGTTAATGTCATTAAAATGTTGAATATAATTTGGGAGCTGTATTGTGCTCTTCTTGTGTTTAAGGGTAAGGTTACTGTACCAGAGAAAAATTGTGGGAAAAAAAAATATTACCTGAATGTTATCGATCTTTCAGGTTTGGGACATCAGCAAAAACATTCTTGTATACCAGTCAACAATAATATCAGGTAATAAATCAACAATGTGTATATATTCTGTTTGTGGTGAACTAGTAAATTTGAACAGTGAAACTTATTAGTTACTTGCTTTCTATTTTCACTCCAATTCTTTTAACTTAGCAATTCTAGTCTTTTAATTGACTGTAACCACCATAATTTACCATATACTTATTAATATTTAATTTCACTAAACATTTTATTTTTCTAAATTAAATTCAATATACTTTTTTTTATAATAAAGCCAAGAAATTCAAGATATCTCATTCCTATTGTAATAGCCTGGTTTGAACCTTCTTATGAATTTCCTTTATGGTTTGATTTTAATAACACTAACCTGTTTTAAACCCTTTTTTGGCTTCTCTTTAAGGTTCCCCATTCCTGTGTCTAGCATTGAATCATGAGAGTGAACAAGTTGCAATAGGATCCACTGATGGGCAAGTAAAGTTAATATTTGTAACATTTGTATTTTCTAATAAATAACATATTCATATGACAAAAAATTGCAAGAAGTAAATGGATAAATTTCATCATTTCCAAGATATGTTTTTTTATTAGTCTAGTAAATATATTTTCTGACAGCTTTATTATTAATTTAATATTTTTGCAAGGTGCGTATCTATGATATGAGTGAGGACAGTGGCTTCAGAACGCTACATCAGCTGGACGTTGCAAAACATTTGCAAAAGATCCATCGGTCAAAATTTGCTAAAGATCAGTACAATGGTAAAGCCGTTATGTTTCAGTGTTCATCTTTTTCATGCATCATCTTGATAATTAACGATACACTGTCTATGTAAAATCTTGAAAACTTTCATTTTATTAAAAAACATTTATTATCAATTTTCCAAATAACTTGCATGGTTTATATGCTGTTTCAAAGTATGTACTTGAAACTTTTCAGCCCTGTTTCTTTTACATGATTGGACTTATTAATTATTCTTTTTGAACTTTTATTATTATTATAATTATTCTTAGATGAGCCATCGACTATATCCAGCAAGCCATCTTGGAAGACTCCACAAGCTGCTGTAGACAGCACCTACGATGTTGAGGAAGATGATCAAAGTGAAGCAGGATCTTCTATCGTTGGCCTCTTCTTTCGTGTCAGACCTTCAAAATCCCGGCCTAGTAGTGGTGTTCAACTACCCTCTTTCCTCACTCAGAATAGCTCTGTTGTACAGTTGAGTAACATATATACAACTTTCATTCAGAATTTTGTCTTAAAAGTGTTTTCTGTTAATAGTTGGTTTTGTAAGTCAGTCATGACGTTCTCACTTTAATTTGCACATAATGTTCGTATCACCGATCAATAACTAATTCAATATAGAGCCTCCACCTTTTGAGTCTTGTGTGCAACAAGCTCAATGAAAGCTGGGGTTTTACATCGTGATGATTAGTTTGCTACTATCCAAGCTCTGAATGCCCACACAGAGGACTTGGAAAATTTTGCTCAATGGTGCTGGTTAACATGAATGAAACCTAGACCACTGACTTAGGCAAGGCCTAGAAAGGCATTATGGTTATGAGATAACAAGGCAATTGACTTATAAATGGACCAAAAGAGATGGCAATGCTGAAACAATTTATAATAATGTTTACAGTACATTTCAATATGTCTACCAGGAGGTTAGGCCTACCTAAAATGTATCAACAACAGTTATCTTAGGAGCCATTATTTCCTTCATAAATTTTTCTGGAAATAATGGCTCCTTCAGCCTCTATTTTCTATAGGGTCCTCAAAACTTGACTATAATTGCACAATAGAGCGCATTCCACCTTATCAGTATCCTTTTTGGCTTGAGCCTGATTGGTTGGTTTGTGATCTGTGTGATTGCTTACTTGATGCATCACCTGATCATAAAGAATATAAAAGAATTTCTGTATGATTATTTTGTTTTATATAATCAGATATCATTCTTTTTTTCAGGGACCTTCTAGAAGTACCGCCTTTATTGGTTGTAGGGACAACAGCCTCAATCCTCATTGTCAATGCTTACAGTTATGATGTCATAAGGGTCATTGACCTTCAAGGTAGATACATAGCAATTGAGATATATAAATGATAATAAAAATCACATATAACATATTAAGATATCTATTCGCATATAGGTATAGTTACACAAGTTGTTTTTTAATTCACTTGCTTGTTTATATGTAATAATTTATAATTTTTAATCTGACATTCATTTCACTACAGAATCACTAGCCTCAAAACAAAGTCTTGATGTCCCAGTCAAAACCATATCTTTGGTAGGATCCTATAGCTTCTCAAATGCATCTGATGAAGAACAGGTATTAGTGCATTTCGTAGTAGTGTAAACAGTCGACAAAATCTTCTTGAGTAGTTTGGTCGAGAGTTGTGCATATCTGTGGTGAATTCTGACCTGGTCATGTAAATTTCGTTCCTTGAGCCTTTAAAAATAGTTAGAATATTAAATGTTTAGTTTGTTAGGGTCCATTGATTCAAGGATTTCCTTAATTTTTTTCATACTTAATATTGAATTTGAAGTAACTTTCTTCAGGTTCCAATCAACCTTGTTTTACGGAAGTATTTTTTCAATTACCACTTGTCAACAAACGACGATTGGGCGAGTGTCTACCCCTCTCTTTTCGTGCAGGTACGCATTGTAGTCCTAGTGTAAAAACACCAGCCTAGAATTCATTGTGGGGCGCGATTGCAATAGTACACAAGTTGCATTGGTCTTTTGCAAACGAACCTAAAAAAATCAAGCCAAGTGTCTTCTTTATTATCAGAATGTTGATTAAATTGAATATTTAGCACCAGAACAATAACTAGATTTTAGCATTTTTGGTCAAATATTTTTCATTATTAATTTATTGTTCTAATAGATATGGTGTTTGGTTGGCAGTATATTTCAAAGTGAGGCTCACCTTCTCTCACTGAAGAATAATTCCACGTCTTTAGACACACCCCATCACCTTGCTCAAGCAGTCACTGAAGGAGAAGAACTACCAGATTTACAAAATTTATCTATTACCTCAGATGGTGATACAGCAAAACTGGCAAATATAACAGTGTTATCAAGGTACTAATTTCATTTAGTTGGATATTAATTGCAAGTTACGATAGCACACCGTCTTTCAGATGAGATGTTTAAGCCATTGGTCCTGTGTGCAATATGACCCATGTGCACGTTCAAGAACGCAGTACAATTTTCTGAAACGAGTATGGATTGTGTCCTGGTGTAATGCCCAATCACCACCAGAAGGACCCCATTGGAAATAGTTCTTCGGACTTTTGTTTGTTATCCGTGGTGTTTAAACCAAAAAAATACATGTAAATAGTAGTTCTCTGAGAAGATACAAAAGAAAATTAAGGCCGCTGTCATCAGCTGTGATGTGTACCTGATCCTAACCATTGATTGTTTTCTACAATTATGATAATTTTATAGGACCTTCACATTATGCAATTCATTAAAAAAGGGAAAAAAAATTGATAATAGGCCTATATGTGATACAATAGTATAATACAGTGTACAAGTAAAAAACTAAACACATTTTGAAGTATTGAAAATAAACTGAAAACTAGCCTATACAGAACAGATATAACCGTGGTATTTTTTAATTAATTTTTTTTTATTGAGACTGTTGAAGTTAATGTAATTTATTTAAATGATTTTGATGATAATATATTGATGTTAATGATACTGATATTGATATGATTGTGATATTTGTGAGGGTGTTGATAATAATGATGTGGATGATAATTATATTAATGACAGGATCCCAGGTTGCTTCCAGTAGATCTGTTTAAATGAGTAGTATTTAAAATTTATTCTGCAAAATATTAATTCAAAAAACTTGATATAATGTATTATTTATAATGTATTTGTATTAATGTATTTAATTTTTCTTTTAGCACACCTCTGTTGGACAATTCACCATTAAAGTCAGAACTTATACCAAAAATTAAAACAGAAACCAAATCCAAGAAAGCTGGTACTCAAAAGAAATCAGCGATCCCAGATCAACAAGCTCTCACATTCCATTCAAAGATAAAATCATCAGGATATTCCCAAACAACAAGGTGGGTATTATCTTTAGAGGAATATGTTTGTACTAAAGGGAGTCCAGTCTTGATGACTCAACTGTACACGTTACCTATAACCTATGTAATGAAATTGAAAATCACCAATATCAAGAAGCACAACAAATCTTTGACCAATATTGTAAAAAATATCTCAATTTGGCTTAGAAAAAAAGATCTATGTAATGAAATTGAAAATCATCAATATCAAGAAGCACAACAAATTTTTGACCAATATTGTAAAAAATATCTCAATTTTGCTTAGAAAAAAAGATCTACATTATACAATTCAATGAATGCCCCATCCCAAAATATTATTTTCTCCTAACGAAATAGTTTTGACTGATGTAATTTTTATATTTTAGGTGTTTAGTGTTTAGGATTATTTTTTTTTCTCTTTAATTTGGTAAATGTTTGTATTGATCGATTTATTATGTTCTGTATATGTTAATTTTTTTAAATAAAATTGTTAAGTGCTGCTGATTTTAAAGTGATTCCAAATAAAATCTGAAATCTGAAATCAGTCCAAATGTTTATCTTGTGTAAGGTCTTGGCACAATGAATGTGACTCGGATTCTCAACCTTGTGGTCTAGAGTTTTAGCCCTTACTATGCAAGATGCTTATGTCCTTGGGCAAGGTACTACTTTATCTGCATTTGTCACTCTCTACCCAGGAGTATAAATGGGTACCAGCATAATGCTGGGAAAATATTAAGCAGACTTGCTGAGAGGAAGAGATGTGATCCTCTCGCAGCATTGCACAATCTGGCAACATATGTGTTAAATTCTAGGTGAAGTCTTTTCACACTTTGATTGACATGTCTAAAGCCCTGTCCAGACTATCAAATTTTATTTGACAAAAACATGTGACATGCCTAAATATGGTCATGGTGACATCAAATCATGACCATATATAGGTAAATCATTTCTATATATGGGCATACAACAGTTTTTTTTGTCAAAGAAAACTTGATAATCTGTACAAGACTTGTTTATTTGAATTAAATTAAGTCTTGTCACTATTCATCAAGTATCCATAATTTGATTTCAAATTCATTACTTTAAACATATAAATTGTGTCTCTTGCGGAAGATATGAATATATTTCTTTGACGTTTCCAGCAATGTGGCCAGGTTTTCTTGTAGCCCTTCACCATTCACTTCCTGTCAGGTATGCTACCTCCTGACAACCCCTGTCTAGAGGACTTGAACAGAGCAATAACATGAAAATACTGCTGAACAAACGTTATCAGGATGGAACTAAAAGGTGTTCAAAGAAATTGTTCCTGTCAGCAGTTTACGTTGCACATTGCAGTTTGAAACTCCATTTCTGTCTAATAAATCTGGTGTGACAGTGCCTTGGCAGGCAATCATAAAGCATGTTTTTCGGAGTTAATGTTACAGTCAAATTACTTTCACCAAGGAGGTGATGTATTCACCTGTCCGTTACCTTGATCATGCAAAAATTAAGGTACGGATCATCATAAAATTTAATAGAATGGTGTATAATAATCTAAGAAAGAGATAAAATATTTTTGGGTCAATTTTTTACCATCGATCATAAGAGAAAATTATAGAATTGCCCATACACAGCCTTTTTATTGTTCAGTATGGAGGTATGAAGCCTATGGTGTGACTGCTCTAGTTTTGTATAAGATATATGTTTTTTTTAAACCAGGTTCACACTAATGTCATTAAACTGTTTTGTATACATTATTGACTTTTTATTGAAAAAAAAGGACATCCCAAATCATTGCTTATATCATATGTGAACATTTATTCTTTCTGAGTGTCTAGTATTGAAAAGATTGTGAATTATAGCCATAGTTGTGAGATTTTCATGTTTTAATTTTCACCTGCAAAAAACAGTTAACCAGGCAACAACAGCCAGAAGGTCATTGCATTACATTGACTCAAGCATTCAATTTAGGTCATCATTTAGAAAAAATGAAGACATGAAGTCGACCTCAAAAATAATACTGTGGTGTCACATACAGTAACTTCCTTTGTGCAGATTTTAGCAAGTTTTATTCATTTGTGTATAAGTTTATTATGGGTATGTTTTTATAGACACTATATAATGCTGTAGATCAGGGATGGGCATAAAAATCGGTTGGAGGGCCAAAGTAAATTTTTGATTTAACACCGAGGGCCGCACCCAAGCTTTGATGTTTCCAGTGAGCTTCCAAAAACCTCCAAGCACTGCTTTTACACCACTTTATTCTCAGTTTTAATGTTACTTTTTACATATGATCGGTGTCGGACCATAAATAAACAAGGTGTTTTCTAGCCAATGTTGCTTGGCGGGCTGCACACATAGGGTTTTTAATTAATTTTCGTCGGCCCCAAAAAAGTCGCTGTCAGGCCGCAGTTAGCCCACCTGTGCTGTAGATGTTAAATTACTGGTATTTTTTTCACAGTTGTGAATATATATAAAAAGATCAACACATTAAAGTCTGGTCTCAGCAGAACTCCGTTTTCAAGAATATTTTTCCCATGTAGCTTCTTTAGTAAATTGTTTTTCTCACTAATAATGTTGAATATTGCCATAGTTTCTCCATGTTTTGTCTTTATTAAATTGTTTTTCTCAGTAATAATGTTAACTTTGCCATTTTCCCCCCTCCCCATGGAGCACATTTAATAGTAAATTGACATTTTAAAAATTTCTGTTATTATATAGGGCACTAACCGAATATTTAACCTCAAGATAACACATTCCTGCTAAATTAATTACTGTATATTTATTATTGGTTGTTGACATCGATCATGAATGCTTTGATTTCTAGATACATTAAATGTGCTAATAAAATCAAGTCATGACGCATTTGTCTAGTCATAGGTGTTAAAGCGGCAAAAAAATTATAATTTTATAACCATCATTATTTGATTAATAAGTTTTTTAAAACTGTGATTCTTAAAGGATATTTATTTTCCTTTTGAAGTATGTTCTGGAGAATATTAATTGATTAAAAATTAATTGCAATCGATTTGTTAAGACCTAAGTGTCTGAGGGATGTATATTAAGAAATCATTGACCTTGGTCTGTTCTTCTTAGTATACATTTATCATAATTGAAGATTTTGATCTGTAGACATAAAAAATTAGTTTCCTTTGCAGACAACATGAGCTAGCAATCCATAGATCATATAGATCATATTCTACGTGTTGATAAACACTCCTTATTCCTTCCTCTGCCAATGCAGTTTTAATTGCACTCTATTTTGCAAAGTCATATTAGACTGTTTCATATTATTAAAGTAATTTCATTGTGTTTACAAGATATATAATTCGGACCAACAATATACAGAGGGAAAAAATGTGGTAAATCGCAGTACAAAATTGTTTTGACTATTAAAGAATCTGGTTCAAAAAATCTGATTTTTTGAACAAAATCTGTAAAGAGTACATTTTTTCCCAATGCCTTTTTATAGAACACCCTTTAGAATATCACAGTGGTCTGTATGGATACTATGCCATGATCTTTTCCTCATTTTCTTTTCACTATTAAAGAGGAGAAATACATAATGATAGTATTAGAATAACTATCAAACTATCATTTGACATTACAAAGATAAGATACTATTGATTTAAGGACCATGTCTGCAATAAACACTTAGATGTTTAGATGATTTATTGCAGTAATATTGTGGAAGTTTCTTTTAGTGGACAGAGCACATTTTTCGTGGGAAAAACACATTTTCTTGGACCTGTTCATATTGGTCAATTGTTGAGTTTGATGTTTGATTTTAACTCCAGAAAGGTTCATTTCATGAACTTTTTTTTTCTTTTTTTTTTTGGCAGACAAGAGTTGTTTTCACCAAAAACAAATAAAGCAAAGGGGAAAGTAACAACCAAGGTTGGATCTGGGGCAAGGTAATTGTTTATTAACCATTTTATTTATTTAAATTTTTAAGTCTTGTATTCCTCTTAATGGCCATATAGTAGAAGAATTTTGTTGATATTTTTAGAGGCTTTTACTGGTAAATAAGATAATCATTTTTATTATTTTAATTGTTGTCATTATTTTAAATGTCATTTTATTCAAAATTATTTATAATTTATATTTCTGATATTTAATAATCTTTTATGTTTTAATGTTTTCCCTTGTAAAATAAGGACTATTATAAAATGTACTGAATCTTCTTTTAACTTATTAACAACATGTATACATTAAATTGTTTTTTTTCCTTTTAAATTTAATGTATTGTAGTATAGTATCATTTTATATAAAAGGACTTTCTTAAAGATAATTCGTATTTTACAATATGATATTTGTATTAATTTGTATTTAATAATAATAAATGTAATGATAATTTAATAATAATGTATTTATCTAAACCATTTTGGTAACCTGTACATGTGTGTTGAAGATGTTTCAGATAAGATTTTTTTTTTGGAATGAATACATATTGTTTTTTGTTCTTTTATCTTTTTTTTTATAAACAACTTAAAGGGCTCTCCAGAAGGCATATCCAGTGGATGCTGATCCTCCATCTAAGCTGAAAGCAAAGGTGGACGTTGCTGAGCATTCTACTCCCATTCATCAGATATCCTTTTCAGGTGAGTATGACACCAGCTATCCTCCAAACAACATTAACAGGAACACCGTAACAACAATTTCATGAATAATTACCTCTCAACAAGACAGTTACCGCCCCGACAAATACCCTGGACAATTACTCCCTGATAAATGTGGAAAATTATCCATGGAAAGTACTACATGGACAATAACCTTTCGGTAAAGTACCCCATGAAAAAAGATAAATACTCCATGGACAATTACCCCAGATAAATACTCCATGGACAATTACCCCAGATAAATACTCCATGGACAATTACCCCAGATAAATACTCCATCTACAATTACCCCCAGATAAATATTTCAAGGACAGTTACCCTCAGATAAATGCTCCATGGACAATTTCCCCTAGATAAATGCTCCATGGAAAATTACCCCCAGATAAGTTCTCCATAGACAATTACCCCCAGATAAATACTCCATAGACAAGTACCCTCAGTAAATACTCCATGGACAATTATCCCCAGATAAATATTCCATGGGAAATTACCCCCAGTTAAATACTCCATGGACAATTTCCCCCAGATAATTGCTCCATGGAAAATTTCCCCCAGATAAATACTCCATGGACAATTACCCCCACTGCCAGATAAATACTCCATGGACAATTACCCCAGATAAATACTCCATGGACAATTATCCCAAGATAAATGCTCCATGGACAATTACCTTTGATGTGTACGGATAGAAAATTCCTTCTGGACAAGTACTCTATTTGAAATTTCTCCCAGACAAGAGGTACTTGCACAGAAATGTTCTCCCAGTCAATGACTTTGTGGAGAATTAACCAGGACAAGTAGTACTCCATGATGCTCCAGATAAATAGGCTTGTAAGTAATTGCCCCAGACAAGTTTCCATTAAATCATTAACCCCCAGACAAGTACCCTTGAAAAATTGACCCCCAAATACTCTGCGGGAAATTTACCCCAGACAACTATCTCATGGACAGTTATTCCCTATACAAGTACTCCACAGACAAATATTCCCATCCAATCACTTCAGACAACCCATAGATAAATATCAACAAAATAACTGCTACAAGGACAATGATCCATAACAAATATAAGAGTGCCCAAACGGTCCATGTCCGGAGTACATATTTGTCTGGGGTTGCTGCCCGGAGGTAGTCAGCTAAAGCCTTCCATGATTCTGCGTCTACCATTGGTAATTAAAACTACTGTACCTTCATTTTGTTTTGCATTGTATAACACATTTGATTGTAAAAACTAGTTTCATATATTTTTGCAGGTGATGGCCAGCATTTAGCATGTGCTTTAGCACGCAAGTGCAGTGTGGTTTTCAAGATGCCTTTGAGTAGTAAAGGAAAATCATTTATTGGTAGGCCTAGATCTGGATTGTTTATAAACACATCTAATTACAGTCACTTACTCTTTTTCAAAGAGTGTACTGTGCACATGGGTCATATTGCACATATGACTAATGACTCAATGTCTCTTTAAAAAGAGTATTTGTGCCCACCTTCCCCACCCCAGAATATTATTAATTTGAACTGGTTAAGTTAACAAGGGATCTCCACATTTCTGCTGACTGAGCTATGCTGCTCTGTGTGTGGGTTTGGATATTGTTTGAAAAAATCCAACTCCAGTGTTTCTCCCATTTGTTGTGCAAGCGTGACAGCTATGCAAATTGCTTCTAAACTCTTTTACAATGGCCTTCTTCCCCCCTCCCCCCTCCATTAAGGAATGTTTCACTGCCATTACACACAGACACATACCTAAATGCATATCTCCTCACACATACAAAATGTATTGGCTTATATAATAAATGCATTTTTTGAAAGGTCATGACAGTGCAGTCAACTGTGTATCCTGGAGCCATAGCAACCAGTATTTGCTGACTGGGTCAGATGACAAGACCGTGAAGTTATGGTTGAAATCTTTATCCGAACCAATTTTAACATTCCAAAATATCAACGAAAAGCAAAAGCAAGAGAAAACAAGTGCAGTCAAAAAAGTATGTCAATAGTTGCACTAGAGATCAAACTATGGTTTCTCAAATGTAAATGTAGTAAATAACCTGTGGCTTGCAGCTTGCTGAATTGCACACAAACATGCAACAACTCATTCTACAACTTTCTTCACCCCTAAGGGTCACATCATGTCCAATCAGCTGCCAAGAGGCGCACTTTCGTTTGTTCCCACGGAACAGCGGCTGAATGGGCCAGTACTTCGGGGTAACCCCCTACTCTTCTCGAAGGATGCAATGTTTTCTTTAAAGTGCTCGGTCCTTTATCCATAGTCAAGTGTGCCGTTTGAACCAGGGGCGGATTGCTGTAAGGGGTCTTTAGACGGTCTTAACCGTTAGCCGGCTATAATCGTGACGTCCCTAACTGGTCTATAATTATAGACCATTGCTATACCGCGGTCTAACCAGTTAGCTGTCTTAAATTTTAAAGCCTACTCGGAGGAGGCTTAAAACAGTCTTAAATCATTTTCATCATGACGTTCTGCTGATAAATTCAACAGTGCAATGGCAAGACCTAGGCCTAGATCGTCAAAGTCGGAGAATCGAACGACTAATACTCCACACACTTCTCAGCGTCTGTAAAAATAGGTGTACGGCGTTTATTTACGTTCATTTCGATACATTTTGCGTGCGTCGAGCACGCATGACGTTGCCCTCAATCTTAAGTTACCAGGGAGTGCTTGTTTGCATTTCAATACTCAAAGCGGTCTTAGAAAAGACTGTTTTATAGCAATGGTCTTTAGTATGACTTTAGTAAGACCGTCTAAGTGATAAAGCCGGCTTTATTCGAGGAGTTGAGACTACTAGTTAAGACCGTTTTATAGCAATCCGCCCCAGCACCGATATTATGACTGTAGGGTGTGGTGCCCCTCCCTTATAACCACTCTGCTATTCAACTCGACTTTATAAATTTGTAATTCAGAAAGTTCACATTTTCATATAGTATCTTAATGGTAAAACTCTATATGCCAAGCATTGCCGTGGAAGCCAAGCTCCCAGAGAACTTTGTTGTTGAGGTCATACTTGCTAAGGTCATCTTTTCTTGTTTCCACCTCCTGCAGGTCAAATCAATGTTCAACAAGGAGATTCGACATGCACAGTTTTATTACATGGACAAGTTTATACTGATTGCATGTGATAAGGCTTTCTATCTTTATAAATACATCATAGATACAAGTGTGGATGATGTCAAAAGGTAAATTATTGGTATCATTATCATCATCAATATCATGATTATCAGGGGCGGATTTAGTGGGGGGGGTATGCCGGCCCCAGTCAGCCTTTTTGGAATGTAAAAAAAAAAAAAAAACAAGAAAGAAAGAAAAAGAAATAATTGCTCTAAAACACCTCAAGTTTATTTTCGGGCCTCTAGAAACTAGAAAACAAAAATTTCATGTGGTATGCACCTGACCCCCTAGTGTAGTGTTGTCTTGGTTGACCCCTCCCCCTAAATTTAAATTTCAGGTAAGTTTGGTGTCATCATCATCATAATTATCTTCATTGTCAGCAATAATAATCATCACTGTCATCTTTATTCAAACTGTACAGTTGTGGTTTGAATAAATATGCTATGTTTTACTGCTCATATAAATTATTTATTATCATTTTCATTTTTTATTCAATTTACCAATTATAATAATTTTATTTGAGATTTAATCTTGTATTGTGGAGTGAAAATCTTTAAATTTTGTTATCTCTTTTTTGAAAAATTAAGTAGTGCATTTCTTTGACCACAAACTCAAGTGCATCTGATTTTACACATCAAAAAGTATTTACTGCCCTCTATACTTACCATATGCTTTTAACTTGTTAATTTAATACAGATGCATCTTGCATGCCCTTGCAAGTGGTATTCCAGCATGTTTATATGATAGATTATCTGCTTATCTGCATTTATACTACATTCATCCTTCTGTGGATAGTAAAATGTCATGTCAACATCTTGATCCTACCATCCTTGTGATTGGCTGGGATGCTTTTTTGGATAGACACTAAGTTGCTGATCATTAAAACGTACTGAATCTCATGCCTGTCTCATTAAGAATAGAGTCTGTTAGTAGGAAATTAAGACATTATTACATCAACAATCGTAAAATTACCCTGGCTTCCTGTTCCTCTACTCTCCAATGAGAAAATTGCCCTGACATTCAAATCCCTCAATCAATCCTCACCTCTCTAAGTGTCTGACGTAGTGTCTAAACTCAATCTGGATTATGCTTAGTTGACCAGCGTGTTGCTGGACAACGGTCGCGTGACCAGTGGGGATTCAGAGCACATCAAACTGCTGCTACAAAAAACTTGAGTAAACCCTGCCGGGACTGTAGCTATCTTTAAATTAATACTCAAGTAGCACTACGTTGACAGTTATTACATTGGAAACTTATTTGCTGCTTCTGGGTTTTTATTTTCAATTTTCTTTTATTTGATTCAATGCTTCAAGTATAGAAGTTTTTTCAATATTAATATTATTGTTGCTTGAAACAAACCATCAAAATAGAAATGATGTTGAACAATAGAAAAGAAGATAAAAAGTTGTAATTGTTATCATTAAATTACATGAATCGATGTTTGCCCTACCTGATGTGATATAGTACTGAATGCTTAGTACGTTCCCAAATGCGTGCAAAAAGAATCTTGCAAGTATTTGAGGGTGGGAATTAAACCCATGACCTCCAGATAACTAGGCTGGTGTCTTAACCACTCGACCACCAAGCTTGCGCTTATGGACTAGTGAAAAATCCTATCCCCAAGTAGCAGCAGGTACTAAATTGATGTTTGCCCTACCCGATGTGTATTGAATGCTCAGTACGTTCCCAAATGCTTGCGAAAATATTATCACAATTGATTTGGGTGGAATAAGCATGTAAATATTGATAAAATAGTCGAGAAAGGGGCTACCTATTACGTGTATTATATTTTATATGATTCATATATTGGAAGTTTCAGCACAAATATTATCTTTGTCCAACTAATAGAAATTCATTTCCCTTGTGATTGCTACATGCCTGTTATTCTTATAATTCCCAATGTTGTGCAGCAATTAATATTCATTTTTGTTATCTAAATAATTCAAAGAAAGTAGGAAACATGATTTCTGTTGTTAAATTGCTTATATTTAGCGAGGAAATTCAATATTGTAACAAATATGATGATTCTTATGACATTTGCGATTCAAAATACAGAAAGTGAAAACAAATTTAGCTTGTAATTTTGATAATAGTTCTTTAAGAGGCAACAAGGTGAAGGTTGGATGACCATTACAGAAGATTATCTCATTAAGCTGAAGTTTGTTTTTCATTTAGGCAACTTGTAACATAATTCTCCAGTGGTTAAGATGTATAAACAAAGTAATATTCACATGCAAACATATCAACAATACAGTAGCCAGGTTGGCATTCAGTTTATGGCCTGTAGGGAGTTCATCTTCTCCATTTAAACCAGACAGATGTTCCTTGCTCCGTCTCTGTCTATCCTGGATTTATGGTCAAATCCATTTTGTGCGTCATGTTGTGACTAAAGCCCTGTCCAGACTATCAAATTTCATTTGTCAAAAACATTTGACATGCCTAAATATGGCCATGATGACATCACATCATGACCATATATAGGCATATTATGACTATATATGGGCATATGACAGTTTTTTGTCACAGAAAATTTGTTAATGTGGACAAAACTTAAAGCTGTGTTTACATTGGATTAATTTTGTCCTTGATAATAAGTATAATTCTACTATTGTTGAATGGTACCGCTGCCGTGGCGGATGCAGGATTTGGTGGCTGTCTCTTATACACATCTCACATCAAAAAGTATTTACTGCCCTCTATACTTACCATATGCTTTTAACTTGTTAATTTAATACAGATGCATCTTGCATGCCCTTGCAAGTGGTATTCCAGCATGTTTATATGATAGATTATCTGCTTATCTGCATTTATACTACATTCATCCTTCTGTGGATAGTAAAATGTCAACATCTTGATCCTACCATCCTTGTGATTGGCTGGGATGCTTTTTTGGATAGACACACTTGCTGATCATTAAAACGTACTGAATCTCATGCCTGTCTCATTAAGAATAGGGTCTGTTAGTAGGAAATTAAGACATTATTACATCAACAATCGTAAAATTACCCTGGCTTCCTGTTCCTCTACTCTCCAATGAGAAAATTGCCCTGACATTCAAATCCCTCAATCAATCCTCACCTCTCTAAGTGTCTGACGTAGTGTCTAAACTCAATCTGGATTATGCTTAGTTGACCAGCGTGTTGCTGGACAACGGTCGCGTGACCAGTGGGGATTCAGAGCACATCAAACTGCTGCTAATATGGGCATACAACAGTTTTTTGTCAAAGAAAATTAGTTAATGTGGACAAAACTTAAAGCTGTGTTTACATTGGGTTAATTTTGACCATGATAATAAGTATAACTCTACTATTTTTGAATGGTACTGCTGCTTGGGCCGAAGGAGGATTTGGGGGTAGGAGGTGGGTGAGAATGCACACCACCTCAACCCCAACATGGTTAGGGCCAAGGTGTGAACATTTTGAGGATATGGACCATAAGGTGCCTGCAAATTGTGCTCTCATACTTTTAAAATCTTACTAGTACTATGTTTTTAATGATAAAAATAATAAATCAACAATACAATAGTTATTTTTCTTAAACTTTCCTTTGTATTTATTAGTGTTTATATTTATCCAGTTATCCACTTTTACTTGTGGGGGGTGGGGTGGTGAGGAGAGAGTGAACCGTAGATGAAGTGCCTTAATCTAAGGACATTTACAATTCACAGTGGAGGTTCGAACATCTGAATTTTTGGTTGAGAGTCTGAATCTCTGTTCAGATCAGAATTTCTTCCGGTCAAAAGAGCAGGTATATAGGTTACTTTAATAATCAAACTTTTTACAACAGTGCCCTCTATCTGCATTTTACAACTTTTCACCATTTTTCTGTTACTTATTATATTTTTGCAGTTTATTTACATAAGCTTATTAAAGTTTTCAGTAAATAAACTTTTATTTATATGCTGATGACTTTTATAAAATTAAACTCAATACAATGAGAAAAAAAAAAAATCGCTATCAAATTAAAAAAAAAAATGGAATTTGCAATATACGGTATCCTGCTGCTTTTTTTCACAACTTTAAAACAATTACTTTCATGATGACAATTATTTAGTTATTGTACAAGCTACAATCTTTGACTTAATTTTATATTACTACCCTAGGAATTTCTTTTATGTACACTAAGTTAGCTTGATAAGCCCATTGTAATTGTTTGAGCTATATTGTTTATCCATAATACCTCAGTGATTTCGATACAACGACACATATACAACCATGGGCAGAAGTAAACCTTTTCCACCATAAGCCTTTACATCCAGACAATTTCTTTTTTATTCAAAACACTTGTTGCAGACAAGAAACACTTTCACCTTTGTCCGCATTTCGAAAGCGTATCTTTACATAAAGATAGTGTTTTATTTTTAAATCATAGATTAGTTCACGCTGTTGTAGAACATTTTTCATTGAATATTTCTCTATGCTTGTGCTTAAAATCCTGTGCTGATTGGGTTAATTCAATTTGAAACACAATACAAATGGGAGTTTCTCTAATGGAAACACTCTATATCTCATGTACCTGTACTTTTGCTTTCCAATTTTTTTTTCTCTGCAAGGTGAACTGCTGGTCATGTCCATATTCTTATCCTGTTATGTATTCCATTCACCACCTGAGTGTAGGAAATGTAGTCCCAATTGTAGTACAGTAGTTTCTTAGGGTGGTAGGTAATTATACTGATAGTACATTTCAAGTGCGAATTCTTTAAGGTTGTCACGATAAATGGAGATTACAAATAAAATAATCAACCACAATTTGTCTTCGTACCTTATCTGTTATTGGTCAGCGGGCGTGAATATTGCTGACTGTGGAAAATTCATTGCTGCATACAATTCATGCATTTAGTTATAAGGTAAATATTCAAGAACTATATTACAAAATATAAAAATTATGTTTTCCAAGCAGTGTGAATTTTTATCACAGCAGTTTTTTTTTTTAAAGAAATGGTAATCTTTGGTTAAGGTAACCGTAAAGACTAGGATGCTTCGGCATAAACAGTTCAGTAATTGTTAAATTTGGTATATTTATTGTGAGGAATATAATAACAAATTTTTAGTTGCCAATTTTAGGGTGG